TCGATTAGCTAAGAGGTGATTCCCGTTCCCGTGCATTCAAGTCATAGGCCCCAGTCGACGGAATGGTTACTCTACTAGGAATTATGCCATGCTAGGATCAAGCTTTGAATGTTCATGTTCACGAATCTCTAATTATTTGTTATGCCTCTATGCCTATATATCTTAAGTGAGTATTTGCTATTTGATTTTTTTTGTCTATTTTTATTATGAAAATATGTTTATACATATGTGTTATTTTTTATGCTTTTCTTTGCAACTTCGGTTATTTAATTTTTGGTCTTTTATTCTGTTTCAATACTCGGATATGGAGTCATGCCTTACACACTACACTCGCATTTTCATATTTAAATAGTATATATTTTTTCTTCGAGATCTAGTGGAGTTAGTAGTGGTGCTCCAATGGGCTTCGTTTTGAATAAATACTCACAAAATCTTAAGCCTTCTTGCTAATTGTCATTGGTGATGAATAATCGATGATTTGCGTGATTGTTGATATTGTCGTGGACGGTGCTAGTGAACCTATTAAAGATTCACTATGTTAGAAGGTACCCTTTTTAAACTTAGATAAAACCTATCCATTCATATAATGGCTAGAATCGGATCCTAAGACCATCTCTCTTTGGTTAAATACATCGGACAAGTCGAACATGTTTGAAACCTTGAATGAAATAATTTGGTCATGATCTTTGAAGATGGATGACAAAAGATCTCAAACACAATTTAAATCAACATCAATCTTCCTAACGGAATCCGGAGATTGCCTCCAAGAGGGATTTTAGAGTAACCATCGCCTAGTAATCAAACTACAGTCGATGATTAATGACTTAAACAAACTCGTTAAATGTTAGGTTCGCTTTGAATAAATACTCACAAAAATTCAAGACTTCTTGTTAGTTGTCATTGGTAATGGATAATCGATGATTTTCACGATTATTGATATTGTTACGGACGAGTGCTAGCGAACCTACTAAAGATTTACTATGTCGAAAGGTATCCTTTTTGAGACTTAGACAAAACCTATCCACTTATATAATGGCTAGAACCGGATCCTAAGACTATCTCTCCTTGGTTAAATACATCGACCAAGTCGAACATGTTTGAAACCTTAACCGAAATAATTTGGTCATAATGTTTCAAGATGAATGACAAAAGAGCTCAAATATAGTTTAAATCGACATCAATCTTCCTAATAGAATATGAGCTCCTTCAATTGGTAGAGGGAGATTGCCTCCAAGAGGGATTTTAGAGTAACCACTAGCTAGTAATCAAAATACAATCGATGATTAATGATGCAAACAAACTTGTTGATCTGTTGGGTGCTCCCGATCGTTGATGATAAACGAGCATTCAAGCACGTATACGAAAACTTGGTTACATTAATAGAGATACCGGTCCGGAAGCCTATGTTGATGGCTCTCGTCTCTTTGTGGTACCTCTTGTACCATTGCTTCACCGTGGGAGACTTAGACATGACTCCTACTATAGAAGAGTACCACCATTTGTTGTAAATGCAAAATCGTTCATATCAAGTCTATCTTTACCGCCAACGTAGCAAAACGAATGATAGGGATGAAGGTTGGCCGTGTGTAAATTTGAGTCGAGCACGAGCTAAAGGTGCCACTAAGGGATGGCATCATGAGGTCTTACTCGGATGTGTTCAAACAAAGCTTGAGAGAGTCTATTGCTAGTTAGAAGAAATTTCGGGTCTTAGCCTTGTTGATTTTTTGTTTGATTCTATTTCCAACCTTTACTCGGATTGATCAATCTTGTAGCAAGGTTACCCAACCTTGGACGTTAACAACATAAATCCTTTTCTTAACTTCAGATGTAGCTTCCGAAAATATATTTTGTATATGAATAATTTTGATAGTAACAAAGCTTTACTAGTTATTTTTTACTTCTTGAATTTAAATATTTATACTAATATTTAAAGGAAATTATTTTTATAAATCTATAATATATGCAAAATGTTTGTTAAAATTTTTTTTTTCGATTAATGAAGAAGATGATAGAAAGATCTTAAGTCGTATAAAAAAATATTTTGTATATAGTAAACTATAATGGTAAATATAGGAGGAATCGATCAAAGACATACACTTACATATTATACGTATAATAAAAAAAGATATAGGTTCACTATAGTTAAATCTTGCTACAGTAAATCAAAAACAATATCGTTTTATGTTTTTTTGGCTTGAAACGATGTTGTATTTTTTAAAAAAGAAAAGTGATTTTTTCAATATTTTATTCATTGTTTTACATTTTAGTATGTTGAGTTCTAATTTTATGCAAAACAGTTCCTAGCTAACTTTAATTATTATTACAAAAAAATCTCTGTATTTTTATAGTTGGATGGTGCTTCCAGCCTAGCTATCAGCTATGTGAGCCTGGAGACTCTCCAGACCCATACAAAAGGGTATGGTGTGAACCCAACCCAACCTCTTTTTTATCTTTTCCCTTTCTTATGTTTTTATTTTTTTCATTGTTTATTATTCACTCAAAATAAATTTATTCTCCATAATTGATTGTTACTTTTTAAAAAAATTTTTTTGCATAGAGTCATTAAATAAATTAAACATTTTTTTAATATAAATTGATTTAGTAGCTTCTTCTAATTTGATTTTTTAAAATATAAATAATTAACTGCATATTTTTTTTATTGATCAAAATAAAAAATATTCCTAAAATATATTGTATATTTAAAATCAATTATGCAATATATTAAACAAATTTTTACAAGTAGTGTTAATTAATTTTTATTTACGTCTAAATTTTTAAATTATTTAAAATATTAAAATATATTACATAAACTTACCTGCAGCTATGCCTGGATTGTATGCTGGTAGTTCGCTGGTCTGAAACACGAGAACACACAAACTCCCTTCGCTCTCATGACAGCAATGAAATAGGCTCAAACAAGGGGACATTTGAGATGACTAGACAAGTCCAAACTCGTTGTCTCTTGACAACCTTTTCAACTAATTAAAACGAACATTTGATGAAGCTACACCATGAATTTATGGGCAGATTTTGGTCACTTTTCTTAGCAATCGCATTCTTAGATCTTGAATTGTTTGCGATTACTCGAAGAATGGTAGGTGAAAGTGTCATAAATTTCTGTTAGGAGGTCACAAGATCTATCTGACCATTAAATTAAATTTCTGATTTCTATACAGCCCAAAACCATCTCATCCTGTAATATTTCACGACATCCTTCCTTTTCTTTATCATCTCATCGATTCAAATACCATTTTAGATTTTGAATATGCATAACTTCTAGGTAGCATTTCCAATTATTCATTTTGTGACATTAGCTATGCACCCTGATAAAGAGAAAAATAAAATAGATTCCATGCATATTGGTTCCAATTTTTACAGTCCCTTTCCTGATCAGGGAAGACTTCACTAGCAGCTAGAAAATAATAGAAAATGTTGGTATAACATTTTAATATTATCATAAATCAAGGTACTATATCTGATATCGTTTTTTATATTTATCCAGTTTATTTAGTGTTTGTCTAACTTTTTTTTATATATTTCTTAGATTAACGTTGTTTTTTCTTGTTTTTCATGTCATTCTACCCTTTCATAGGTTTTGACTGCAATATAAGTTTCATATTGTATCAAGTGGAAGATTAAAATAATAGAACTATCAGTGAACAGCCGGCAAAAAAAAGTTTTAGTTGCCAATTCAATAATTTTTTTTTTAATTTTAGGTCTGAATTTTGAACTTTAAGAAAACATTATGACATTTTAATGTCATTATAAATGAAGATACTGTAGAGCTCCTAGAGGATCTTTTAAAAGATGGGTAAGCTTTTAAAAATTGAAACATTAACTTCAAAAAATGCATGACATGAGAAGTTAGGGCATATATAGTACAAATTTGAAATGGTGTTACATGCCAAAAGTGGGTGTTTCCTATACAATCAATATTCCTCCATTAGATCATCCATTTAAACATTCACAATCCATTTTTTGGATTATCACATGAAGCGGATGTTAGCTAGGAATCAAATAGACTCTTCGTGACCCTTGAAACTAAAGTTGAAACTCCAACCCCCACTTCAAGCTATTACTACTACTATCCCTGACTCAAAATTCCAATTCTATGTTGTCATCCAATATTTTTCCAATTAGTATTCCTTCCTTCCTTCCACGACCATCCACCATCTTCAAATAATATATAATATATAGTTATTTTGTTTTTTAATAGGTTAAAGTCAGCAAAGTGTTTTTGTTCATGTAATTCAGTCACATAATTTTTTTTTAATGAAACAATAATTACTTCATGGAGTAAACTATAAATTAGTCGCTCGCATTTCAAAAAATAAATTAATTAGTTTTTTTAATTCTAAAAATTAATCATTTAGTTTCTTATATTTTAATTTCGTCAACAATTTAGTCATTTTATCTCGTTTTTGTTAGATTAATGATTTTTTTCTCAAATTCTTTTTTTTTAATGCTTTATTTCTCCCTTTCACTCCCTCTCTTTCTCCTTACTCAACTAAAAAAATGACAATTTAAAAATAAAAATTACTAATTTAACAAAAAAACTAATCAAATGACTAAATTATTGACGAAATTAAATCATTTAGCTAAATGATTAGTTTTAAAAGAAAAGAGACTACTTAATTATTTCTTTAAACAAATGGGACTAATTTATAATTTACTCTTACTTCATGCCGTTGGAGACAAAAAAATGAATTAAATATAAAAAAATATATATATTTACAATTGAATTTATTTTCTCTTACGTTCATTCTTATCTCATATACGTTAATTTGCTTAGTTTTTTCAACAAATGTTTCTCTTCCTTTATCAAAACTTATGTTACTGAATATTAATATTTAATACTAACATGTTACAATATATCTATATAATCTTTACCTTGTGAAAAAAATAAAATAAAATAAAGCAATGGCTTTTGCATGAACAAATTTTTTAATCTTTCTGATTTTGATCGTTCTTTGTTGATATAGACCAACAAGAACTCCAATATGAATGTTCAAATCCTATCCACAAAATTGATAACTCCATCGCCTCCAACTCCTCACCATCTTCAAAACTTGAAAGTATCATGGATTGATCAGTTTTACCCACCACGTAATTTTGTACCTTTGATTTTCTACTATCCATCCAATGGTGATGATCAAAACAACGTAGAAAGAAGTAAGCAATTGCAAAAATCATTATCAGAGACATTAACCATCTTCTACCCACTTGCCGGAAGATACATTGACGACAATCTCATCCTGGATTGTAATGACAAGAGAGTTGAATATGTAGAAGCCCAAGTGAATGGCTGCCTCTCACAACTTCTCGAAGGAGGAGAACTTGAGACCGAGTTGAGGAACCATTTGGCTCCACATCCGGTTCAACCTTACCACAGGCCTCTAGTGTTAATTCAATTCAACATGTTCGAATCTGGTGGGGTGGCCATTGGTGTATGCGTGACACACAGGGTAGCTGATGCATATACAATTTTTGCATTCATTAATGCTTGGGCTACAGCATGCAAATTAGGGATTGATAAAATAGAACATACCCCGAGTTTCCAATTATCTTCCTTCTTCCCATCAAGAGAAACAATATCTTGTCCTAATCCAGTCATCGGAGACAATCAAAAGATCGTCATGAAGAGGTTTGTGTTTACCGGTGCAGCCTTGTCGAAACTGAAGGCTGTTGCTCGTGCCGGTGTGAATGGATCACGCCAACCGACACGACTCGAGGTGGTGACAGCAGTTATATGGAAGACTCTTACAATGGTGGCTCGAGGGAATGACGGTCGGTTAAGGCCTTCCATCTTGTCACATCCAATTAACCTGAGAGGGAAGACAGCAATGCCTATACCAAATAATTCTTGTGGAAACTTCGCAACTTTGGCACTTTCACATTTTACAGCAGATAAGGAGAGCAAGGTGCAACTTCATGACTTTGTAGATAGAGTTCACAACGGAATAAAGAAGAAGGTAGCAGATTGTGCAAAAGTTTCAAGTGATGATGAGTTATTTAGAATGGCAACGAAGATCGGAATGGAGACGACGGAAGCATTTATCAAAGGCAAAGTGGATTTCTATATCTTTAAAAGCGTGTGTCGGATGCCAATTTATGAAGCAAATTTTGGCTGGGGAAAGCCTGGTTGGTTTAGTGGATGTAACACTGGTGTTGAGATGGTTTTTCTTATCGACACAAAAGATGGTGATGGAATTGAGGCATGGCTGAGCTTGGAAGAAAATAGGATGATTCTTTTCCAGGAAAATCCTGACATTAAGGCATTTACTGGCCAAGGACCGTAGCACCACCTGGGTGTTGCTACCGTAATATAAAAGTTCTACCTTTTTTAATAGTAAATTACAATAGTTAGATCCAAGGAAAAATAATAAATTTGTAAGAAAAATTGAAAATTGAACAACCGGTGAATTCATAAAATTAAAAAAATATATATATATATATAATTTTTCATATTACAGTACTTTATGAGTTATCATTGAATTAGTTTTGATGTCAATTGAAATTAAATCCACTATTTTTTTTTAATCTAAATTGATGCCAAATAAAAAATTATAATAAAATTTTTATTTATTGTTAAATAGTGAATATACTAACACTCATTCAGTTTTGTAAAATTAAACATTTGAAGTCATTATTACAAATTTAAATTACCTTAGATATATATATACACACACATCAATAAATGATTTTTTTTTTTTTTATCTCAATAGACATATTTCGTATCTTATAAGGCTTTATACTCATAAATGACTAGGAATAACAATATATATATATAAGTTGAATGGATGTATATTAATAAAATCAATAGGTTTTTACGAGAAATTTTATCTTACTCTATGACTAATTAACAATATTTATTTTATAAAAGAGAGGTAGACAACTATCAATATTTTTATCACTTTTAATATATGTGAATATAATTTTTTTTATTTTGTGTATTTATTTCTCTTCTCAAAATGGATAAATTAAGTAAATATTATTAGTTACTTATTGAGTATAATAATGTCTTTTTTATGCTCAGCAATTATATTATATATAAAAACAATATCTATTGTATTGTCTTTTTTTTTTTTTTTTTTTTGAAGAGATACTTATATTGTTTTTCAATATTGCAAATATATGTTGATTTTGTAAATATGCATTCATAAAATTTTGTAAACGGTAGAGTAACTATTATGGAAATTCAATACATGCATATTGGTAGATAAGAAAACAAAAACAATTTATTTTGATTACTTTATTTGCATTCTGTTGTTACTTTCAATTTAGTATTATTACATTTTGGTGTTTTATTTTTTTTTAAAAAAAATTATACTTTAATTTTTTTATTTCATCTTATCCTTTTTAAAAAAAAAAATCATATATATAAATAGTGAGTATTGAAAAACACTATAAGTATTTTTTTAATATTCGATAGTTATACTGCATAAAAAAAATCGATAGTCACTAAATACTTATAGTTTCGTTTTTCTCGACATTAAGAAGTACTTGTGATATGAAAATTCTAAAGCATTAAATTAGTGGAACTCAATAATAATTAACTCCCACATTTATCCATCGTCTTAAATGCCAAATTTAATTGAGAAATGGAAATATACTAAAAAAAAAAAAAAAAAACCTTCATGTTCAAGATAGATTTAAAAAGTTAGAACCAGCTAATTTCAAAACTACACCTTATTATTAATTTTAATTTCAATAATAATATGAAATTTTCCATGAGTTTAAGATAATTTTAAAAAACGTATAACCACTTGATCTTGATCTTGATTTTGAAGTACCTTGCTTAGCTAGCTGAACTTATTTTACAGCATATATAAAAAAGTCCTTTAAAAACCGTTTCTTGCCTTTGAACTCTAGCAGAACAAGATCAAACGAAGAATACATTTCAAATTTGGTTCTAGGAAATTCCCACTTCGATGAAGATCTTAAGCATTACACAAGTAGTGTTCCCCGGGACCATGACAAATTTAATATATAGTCTTACAAAATAAACCAACATGGCATTAACATTGTCTGAAAAGACAGAATGGTAGGCGAAGGATCAGGACATGCATGTCCAATTACTAAATCGGAAAGGAAAATGACAGAGAACACAGAGACAAAAGATGGGTCCTTCGTCCCCTACTCTGCTTTTCTTTTTAGCTTCAGAGAAAGGGTAATGTAGGGCAACAAAATCATGTTATCATTTTTGCCTTTTCATGTACTTTATAGTCTTTAAGTATTCTCTCTGTAAATATTTTGAAGCTAATTATTAAAATATTTCTTAAATTTTAACTCATTTAAAAATCAGTTTTTCAAGTTTTAATTTCGAATTATTTAAAATTGAATCGTCATGTTAAATATGTTAAATTGTAAGTAAAGAATGCACATTTAATCAAAAGCATGATTGTGTTTTGGCTGCTGTATAACAAACATCAAGAAATGCACAAAACAAAGGACAAAAAGAAGTACTTATATATTTAAAAGAATTAACAAATATTTAGGATTCTTTATAAACCCCCAGGGGGTAATTAACCAACCAAAAATGAAGTTAAAGAAGGGCCTGGGGATGAATTAATATACTTAAGACATGATGGCATTGTTCTAAAGATAATTAAAGAAGGGAATTTACAATTAAAAGTTCCGAGCAGAAATAGTTATGTAGGGTTTGTCCTCAGGTCTCTAATGGAGGTTTGGTCTTCTTTGCCACTCTCCTTCAAAACCACTTTGGTATATTTCCTAGTGAACTTAAAAATAATAAAAAAAAACATCTGAAGCCTTCCATGTTGTATGCGTATGTTATTAGAGTATTCTCCTCTTCTTTATGTATTCCTTGTGTAACATTTATAAAGCACTCGACTTCTTCCACATCACCAGGGACTTGAGAAACTCCATGACCTAAAATCATGACCAAGAAGATGATAGCCACATTAGATTGTTGGAAAATAGATATAGAAATAAAAAGAAATCAAGGTGCAAAAACTATACAATTATATCTCTAAATATCTTTGTGATGTATTAAAGCTTAAAAGTAATTCACACGAAAATGAGTTCTACCTCTGATGGGTTCCTGAGAGAGTAATATGCATTGCTTTCCTTTGGTGATCTGGACACCAAAATGCCATAACCACAGTTCCTCTCTCTCAAAACCTGTTGCAAGTGCACCAAATTAATTCAGCAGAAAACGAAAAAAAATGCTTGGCATAAAGATTCATCATCATCAGCATCAGCATCATAAAAGAGGAAAGTTGGTATTTTATCTACAGGTTACCTTAAAAGCATCTTCATCTGTCCGGTCATCTCCAACATAAATAGGGAGTACATCATCACAATTGCTGAAACCTAAACCAAATTTTTTGTTGTAAGTATAAAGCAACACTCAACATTCTATAAACCATTTTAACAAAGATTTGAGAAGTAAAATGTTGGTCACCTAGTGATTCAAGTAGAAACTCGAGAGCTTTCCCCTTGTCCCAATCGATCATGGGACGGATTTCTAAAACCTAATCATTAGAAAAAACCAAAACATAAATAATGAATCCTTTAAAGCAAATGGCACATAGTTTAGCTAAACTGAAAATAAAAATATAGATGATTTTATATGATGGATCTATAATTTACCTTCCTCCCATGAGTCATTCGCAGGCGGGGGTACTTCTTTATGACATCCTGGACACACTCCCAAACAGCTGTCCAGTTCTGAAAACATATTCAATAAAGTATGACTAAAGAGTTAAAAACAGGAATAGCTCCAAAGTTTGGCAAATAACAAGAGAGAAAAGTAAATCGAAAATTCAAGATTTAAATTCCCAAAAAAAAAAAAAAGAGCCTACCTCTTCATCAACATTACGGTAATGTACAGAGACACAGAATTTGTTGTTCTCAACTTGTGCACCTTTAATGTTTTCGGTACTCTTGACAAGGGAACTAAGAACCTGCACAGGTGAATAAATCTAGAATCAGAAGAAGGAAGGAACAAAAACGTCAGAATTGGCATTGAAGAGAAAACATTCATGCACCTCATCAATCATTGGTAAAAATTCTCTAGCTGGCTGGAACAAATTAACTTCATTGCCCTGCATTCAGAAAAATCGGATGAGAAAATCAATTTAGAAAATCAAGGGCAGATGCAAAGAAGATACGAAGTGATGTCTAAAGAATTTTCATAGTGGTATATACCTGCTTGTCCGTAGACTTCATACAATTTGGGTGGTCCTCGGATACAGATTGCCTAACAGGCCCCATGATATCCATTCCATGACTACCCGCATAATAGAGTTCTGTGAGTCCTACAAACTCATATACCTGAATAACAAAAACCCACCGAAAAGATGAAAACATGAACCAAAGATAAAAATGCTGACAAAGTTGTTAAAAATGTCTTCATTTGTTTTCAAACAAGTTTGCCAGTTACCTTGTCACGGCTTCTTCCACTAATTATTGCTGTAGGGAAATACTTTGCCACTTTCTTTACAGCAGAACGCATCTATAAAAAAGGCAGGAGTTAAGTGCTGACATGACAAAAATAAGAGGATAGAAAGTAAATCTCAATAGTAAATTTCCCATATGTCATTTACGAAACTTTTCTTACATCATCGGACATGAATGCACTCTCAGGATTTTCAACAATTGGTGAAAGAGTTCCATCATAATCCAGAAACAAAGCAATTCTTTTGCCTTTCGCAAAGTTTGCAATTTGCTCAAAAGAAGCGAGAGCAGATGGATATTTAAGCTGCATGATCGGAAAAAAGTGCACAAGGCCATACAAATTAATAATCTACCAATTTGGCACTAAGAAAACCTGTAGGTGAAGTTAAGAGAAAACAATTACCAGCCAGGTGCGATAGGCAACTTCAGGATCAGGTGAGGAAAGCTCATGGTTAAGATCCTTGGTAAACTTCTTATGAGGAGGAGATGATGATTTCATTGCGTCCAGCCAACCACTGGAGCGAACATCATCAAGCACTCCAGTTTTCTTCCTAGGAATAGATAGTAATAGATTCGGCGAGAAAGCTGCACCAGAGGGGGAGTATGGTAACAAACCATGATGCCCCCTAGCCTTGACTTGCTAAGGGGTGCAGAATCAGTGAGCACAGGAGCACTGTGATTTGACTTGAGGTCCATCGGATCCAGATTTGTAAGATAATTTATAATGTCCAAAGAAAGTAAAACTCAAAAATAGACTGTCCTTGCAAATTGAATCAATAACAGATTATTGACTGTCAGATATCTGTTCACCCAACCCTTTTATCGATGAAGAACCACCTCTTCAGAGTTATCTTGTCGCAACTGCTTGGCAAGCAGTCCATCAAGCACTGGACTCCTGAAAACTGATGGCCATAACAAGAGCTTATAAGAATACAATCAAGTACACTGTCAAGTTCCTTTTCAAAGAAAACCAAATTCCAACTTACCTATATGTTTTCATTTCCTTATTCACCACGATGAGCCAAATTGGGTTTGAAAAAAGCTGTTAATGTTTTTCTTTCACGTTCCACAGGAAATCTTCAATCCTCTGCAAAGCATACGATGAAACCACTAAGTAACGCAAGAAACACCAAAACAAACTTGTTTGAGGAAATCCTAATATGATCCACTGGACATAAAAGAAGTGTAGAAGTTTAACGCATGGCTTACAAAATGATTACAAAAAACTAAACAATCAATGAAGTAAATTCTCGGAGGATGTACGTCTCAGAAATTTGTAAAAACAGTATCAAATCACGCAATTGAATTCATCACACAAGAACTTCCACTAGACAGACAAAATTAAAAAAAATATATATTACATCGAGTTGTCAAATCAGCAATAATGTCACCTCATTAAAAATTTGTCAAGTTTAATATTTTGTTACAGAATCCGTTTACATATCCCAAAAAAGTTCCAATAAAGGGATCTAGTTTTACAGGAAACAACTTCAGAAAAAAATCGACCGGGTAACATCGATCGAAGAATTCAAAACGCCAAAGATTGAACTATGAATATTATTCTCTCTGTATCTCAGCCAAAAGGAACACAAAATATGATCGCCCTACATGAAATTAAAATCTAAATGGCTCTCATATTGCTATAACAAAAAGATAAGCTTAACGAATATATCTTGTACATCAACTTAGTACTTGACAAACAAACAAACGAACATATCATAGATTGCATTGCATAATTCATACTATTGCGCATGAATGCATTAAAGACATAAAATCATAAATCACTTACATCATAGGGAAAATAAAGAATGGAAAAGGAACGCTAAAGCAAATCTATATAACCCAAAAACGTTTAAGAAGAACAGTGTTCAGAATTAAAAAAAGGCCCACAAAGAGAATATCTGGTAGAGAAAAATATGAGCAAATTGGTAGTTGTGTCCAATAGAAAGCTTTCTCTACTCACACACCCCCCACATGGAGAGATTGACGCATACCATAAGTCACCACACATCATGGGCCTACGTTACACTACAAGTATGGGATGATTAAAACATATGGACCCAAAATATTTATCAAATGATGCGAATATATATATATATATATATATATATATATATATATATATATATATATATCATAAATGCAAATAAAAAATTGAAAAAAATCACGATTTTTTTCCTGTAAACAAAGGTATCCCCATACTTTTGTTGCTATCACACTTTCTTCTCCTATAAACTCAATCAACCAACAGCAACAACATCAAACTTTTCCATAAGTAGCCAACCATTCATAACCAAAATAACATATACAATTATACACAAGAGTTCTGGACGAGGCATCTAATAAAACCACTCAAAACACCAACCTTTTTCTTTTAACCAAAAATCCCAGATAAAACCATTTTTTTAAAAAGGAACTTCCTTTTTTAAGGTGGAGGAGAAACCGTGGGGATTTATTAAGGTCAAGAGTCCACCAAGCGAAAAATAAGGATTCTTAAAAAAAAAAAAAAACACGGTTTAACGCAAAAAAATGAAATTGACATTTGACCTTGACCATTTCGTGTACAGTAACAAAAAATCAGAGAGATAAAAGCAGAGGCTTGCATCGCCATCATCATTATTATTGCCTCATCAAGCACACAGCTTTGAAAATCAATGTCGTTTTTGCGGTGACAAAATAAAAACTGAAAAAACTGTATAACCTGTTATAATAATAATAATAATAATTTTGACCAAAGAAAATGACACAATAACAAACCAATAAAATTAACACTACAAATAAAAATCAGATTTAATTAACTTAATTTAAAAATAAAAAATAAAAAGAAACGCAAGCAATGAAACAAGCAACAGAAATGAATTTTTTTTTTTTGGGTCCTAGCAAAAAACAACAAGCAAAAAATTGGGAGAAACGGTGCCATTTTCGCGGAATCGCATTCATAGAAGATACAAAAAGATTAAGATAAAAACAGCCAATAAAGCAGAAATGGAGAATTTGACAACAAAACGCTGTCGTTTATAAAACAAACGGCATTATTGCTTGCAAAATAAGACAGAGAGATGAGGAACAGCAGAAGATTGGACAGACACACCGTCGTTACAGAGACAAAAAAAACTAACGTACCTAACAGAAGCTCCAATCCGAAATAAGAACAAGAACGTAGGGGAAGGAAATCTTGAAAATGCAGCTGCCTTCCTTCAAGGAAAAAAACACAAAGAATCAGCAACAAAACGAAACCGTTTAGGTGTCTTACACTTGTCGTAACCACATGAAAGGACGAAAACAGAGAAAGCCAGCCGCAGCCGCCGACACTAGAAAAAAAGACTTCCTTCGAAAGGGAAAGAAGAGAAGGAAAATACCTTTCTATAGAATCGCAGAGAGCGAGAACGAGAATCAAGCAAAATAGAGATTTCTTTTTGCTTTCTTTTGGACGCAAAACGAGAAAAGCAGAGGAGGAGAGATGGGAGAGGGATAGAAAAAACCAGGAGAGGTGGTATTTATAGAAGAGAATAGTTTTTCTTTTCTTTCATCTTTTTTATTTTTGGTAAATGAACGTGTTTTTCAATGCCTAATTTCGCGGTATCCGAATCAGCACAACTCAACTCCTAGTGTTAAATTAGCGGCATCGTTTCTTAGAAAAAAACTGCAGACGTCAGTTGGCGCGTTATGATTACGCGACAAGTAGGTGATTCTTGAGAGTGGCGGTGAATGGCGATGGGTTCCGTTGTAAAGAAGTGACGCTGGAAATTTGATTTGGCAAAAATGAAAAATGAAAAATAAACATTAAAATCTTTGATTGGCGGTTCTACACTAGGTGGTAAGAGAATAATAGTGTTTTAAGAGTGTAGTGAGATTTAATCGTGGCAAATGAAAATTTGTCTGAAAATATTCTTAAAAAGGATAAATTTTATGTTATTTATGAGTAATTAATAATATTTAATCAATAAAAAAGAAAAATATAAGAGAAAAATTAAAAAACAAATTTAACTGAAAATAATTTTTTTATTTTTACTAAGTTCGTTTATAATTTTTGTTTTTATTTTTTATTTAAAATAGACTCATGAAATAATTATTGTTAATTTTTATTTAAAGATTTTAAAATCTCACTTGTAAAAGACGCTACCGAAATAATCAATTTTAGATTTAGTTGAGTTTTTTAAGTGAAATTTGTTGTATAATTTTTTGTGAATTATGAATCTGAATCAGCACAACTCAACTCCTGGTGTTAAATTAGTAGCATTGTATCTTAGAAATAAAAACTGCGGACGTCAGTTGGCGCGTTATGATTACGCGCCAGTTAGGTGATTTTTTAGAGTAGCGGTGAATGGCCATGGTTTCCGTTGCACAGAAGTGACGCTGGAAATCTGATTTGGTAAAAATGTGAAATAAAAAATAAAAAAAATAAAACCTTTGATTGGCGGTTCTACACTAGGTGGTAAGAGAATAATAGAGTTTTAAGAGTACAGTGAGATTTAATCATATGGTCAATGAAAGTTTGTCCGAAAGTATTCTTAAAAAGGATAAATTTTATGTTATTTTTAACTAATAATATTTAATCAATAAAAAAACATATAAGAGAAAAATTAAAAATCAATAATTTTAAGTGAAAATATTTTATTATTTTTACTAAATTCGATTGTAATTTTTGTTTTTATTTTTTATTTAAAATAAACTCATGAAGTAATTTTTATGTAAAGATTTTAAAATCTCACTTGTTAAAGACGTTATTGAAAGATTCAATTTTAGATTTAGTTGAGTATTTTAAGTGAAATTTTTTGTATAATTTTTTGTGAATTATGAATCTGAATTTAGGATATATCTTTTTAACAGGCAAGGAAAAAAATATAAATAATTTAATTTTAATCCTGAAATATATTTAAAAAATCAAACCAAATAAATAAATGTAATACAAACAAGGTCACGAGTCACAAGACAGAGCCTAAGTACTAACTTTCTGGTACTTTTAAGTTTAAAAAAATCCAACCAATTAATTAAATGTAGAAACAAAAAATAAAAACGGCCCAACTTACGCGGGGTCCAGGGGATCTTCGGAGTAGACGACACGTGGGAGTGAAGACTTTGCGGCCAAAGCGCGTGAGGACACCTATAAGTGAGTCAAGTCTGACGTGGCCACGTTTCAGCGGGGGTCCTACGCTGGAAAGAGCTGGGATAACCGAAACGTGTCGTCGCTTTCAGTAACAGAGTAACAGCTGGGTGATGGTCGTCAGTGACGGTCGTTGGTAGCAGAAGGTCCCACGTGGCAGAAGCGCGGTTAGTGGGCCTAAGATGTTTCAAGCAACCGTAGCCACGGGATGATGTGAGGTGGCAAGAGTTCGAGTTACGACGTGGGGTCCAATGATTTTAGGGTTCAATAAAATGATAACCACATAGAGAACCAAGTGGGGAAGATGGAGATTGATGGGACAAAAACTGAAATGTCACTAGAAACCTTGTTTGGAGAAGATCCGCCTAAAAATCACATTATAGGTTAATTTTTTTCATAAAAAATTAATTAAATAAACTAATTAATTTTTCTATGTATATCAGCTTAAATCATTGCGAGAGTATCAAAATTTTTACATCAAAAAATTTTTAACTTCAGAATTTTTTATCTTTAGCAAAATAAACCGTCAAATTCTTCATTTCAAAATTCTTATATTCCTATATCATACAATACCTAAAATTTTATTTCTTTCAATTTAACTATCCACATGTCAAACATTTAACTCGCATCTTATTAGTATTGTCTATTTTTTTCACACATCTCTCATTATTTGTATCGTTTCTATTTTATTATTTAATTATTATTTTTATAAATCACGATATTAGTTTTTTATATCTTGATTGATCTATTGACCGTCCATCCGATTAGTTTTCAAGAGCCCTCTCTAGACTATGTACAGTAAATAGGTATGAAAGGAGATTGATTTTCTCACCATAAATGTCTATAATGTATTTTTTTTTTATTGTTATTCCGACTCAAATACTACCTTCCTATCAGTTTCATGTAGTGCATATCATCTCAATATATTACTTCTACACTCAAATAAACATTTGAAAAGAGTGTTTTTTTTCTCAAGACTAAATATATTTTTAAATCAATTTAAAATTAATATAAACTAAATCTTTTTTTAATTATTTTAAAAGCCACATCAATGGTGCATTTAAAATAAATTTTCATAGACATTGGTTTCAAAATTTGAACTTAAAACGTTAGCAAACTTCCGTAACCGACGAATCAATCCATTCTACTTAATTAACTATAAACAAATTAGGTATACGTGGTGATTTATGGAGGAATGATTAAGAAATTGAATGATTTTATTATTATTATTATTATAGATGGGAATCCAGGTTCAATAAAAAAATAAAAAAATGCACTTGCACCAAATAGACAAGCATTTTGTTTTTACAAGTAAACTTGACCATGCACGTAAAAGGAAAAAAAAGATTCACATAGAGTTTCATGCTGACATTTAAACTACGAACAAGCTACAAGTCAAAACTTATGGCATCACTTGCGGCAAGGTAAGTTTTAGTCTTTGCTGTACTCGAGTTTAATACCTTATTCATCTGATTTTATTGGGAATTCAATTTTGTATTTTTCTTCAAGAAAAGAGTTGTAATTGCCATTAGCATACGTCTTGAATTATTCAATTTTTTTTTTTTTTTTGGTCAATTTAGTGGTTTAAGTCCCAACTCCCAACTATAGAGCGCACGATTGGGGAGAAAAAAACTCCACCAATGTCGCCAACAGCAATGCTCTTTTTCTCAATCTTTGTAGGCACTGATATGGAAAAAGGTACACGTGATGGGCCATGACCTTCTAGTTCTAGCTCCTCAATTTTATAAAGAATCTTTCTTTCTTGTCGTTGTTAGCTCTTTTGAAATAAATTATTTTAAATATCAAATAAGGTACCAAAAATTCTTGATGCATCATTAGGATTCAACACTTTTTTGAATTTTCTTAAATAATATTGAATTTGAATGAAAGAAAAAAGTTGATGCAATGAGAGGGATTGTTAGAGAATAGCATGAAGTTTTTTTTTTTTTTTAGTGAAGTAAGATTAGAATTATGGTGATTCTAATTTCTTTAATAATTATGTAATGAGAAGGATTAACCTATTATGTAGCCCAATAGATACTTTTGATAAATAAATTAAAAAAAATCATATTAGAAAGACAGTTACAAATAATTTTTAGCTAAGTATCGTATTTTATTTTATTTTGACAAATAAACTCATTGTTGTTTTATAAATAAGGAATTTTATTCCTCATGATGGATTGATTAACGTTAATCAATCATGCTAATTTACAAGAAGAAGTAAAGAATATCTGGAAAAACTCAAAAGCAAATCTGTTGAGTTTTTCACACTTGAAAGATGCTAGTTAGTAGAGGGCTAAACATTTTACTAGTTCCCTTCATACGTGGTGGACACTAAACAGCCACCCCCTAGTCAAGTCTAGAAGTGGAACGACTGGTTAGAATCTTAACTTTGCAGTTCAAATCGTGGACTTTTTTTACTACAATCAGGAATAAAGAAGTGGAGGCTTTATTGAAAGGCAAAAAAATGGGGAGTTGCGTAGGGCCAGTAGAAGCTAGGAAACACAAAAAAGGCTTGCAAAAGAGGGTCAAAGACGCTGACAAGAGAAAAACAAAAGGAAGTAACTAGGAAAAGTGGAAGGGAACGATGAAAATTATTTATACATTGGAAAGTGCAAGAGCAACTCAGGTTTTTGCCTTTCGAGGCCTTCTGCTTTCTTTCTTTACTTGGGTTGGGGGCCACTGACGTTTGGTTACCGAACCTTCTTTTTCAATGCCGTAGGTTGTGGTAAGTTGGACCTTCTCTAAATCTATGCATTAAATTAATTTTGAGTATTTATTCGTGTAATTGTTTGACATTGATGTGTCATGAACTGTTCTTGATTAGTCCATTTCAAAGATTCATCAAGGAAGGATCTGAGTAAAATTCTGAGAAAGGCAGGAGAGCAGCGCAGCGCAAGCGGCACGACTTTCTTTTTACGAGTCCATAGCTCATTTGGTTTGAAGCTTCCCAAGAATTTTCTTTTCATTTTCATTTTCATTTTTAGGTTCGAATTTATATTATTTAGGTTTGGCATGCATCTAAATTCAACACCGAACCCTTTATAGGTGGAGTAAATTATAAATTATTTTTTTGTTTCGAGAAACGAGTTAATTAGTTATATTTTTAGAGCTTAATTATTTAATTTAATATTAAAAAAATATTTTTATAATGTTTGTTTATTATTTTTTAAACAAAAAAATTAAAAAAATAAATTAAAATGGATAGAAAGGATTAAATAATTAATTAGCAAAAAAAGGGTACCAATCAATTTTTTGTTTCGAATTAAAACTAGAGGAATAATTTATAATTTACTCTTTATAAGTGCTAAAAAAGCTGATAATTAGGAAGGAATTAATTTTGACAGTTAGAGACATTAATTAATACTGCAATGACCTAATAAGATCCTCGGGAAAACCACTCCAGATCCAGGAGGAGACGGAAATTATGGGTAACACACATTGTTTTTGTTTCAGCAGTTAAGTCCATTAAATTTTTTTAGATCCTTCCTAATCTATTAACATCTGAATTGTTGTTTTTACAATTTTTTTTTTTAGCTTGTATCCCAGGAATAACGATTTCTTATAAGAGATTACTTATTTAAATTTTAATATATTAATTTTGATAGGAATTTAGGATATGAGTATTGGATTTTTGAGTTATATATATATATATATATATATATATATATATATATATATATATATATATATTGAAAACAGGACATATGATATTCAAAACTCTGGATTAAGTTATTTTGAAAAATATCAAATTTGTTTTAGAAAAAAGTGAAAACCCTTTTGCAAAGCACTAAAAGATACCTTTGAATTTTTCCAAAGGCATCGCTTTTGGGCAATAAAGTTCATATATTTTACATCATGTTGTGATCAAAGGAAGAAAAACAATGAGTTTTGTGTCCCTCACAGAACTGAATTCGAGCATGAAAATTGTTGGCATCATGTCTGTCCTCATAGTTAGGATCATTGATGTCATCAACATAACAATAATATTAATTTAGTTGGGTTTTTTTTCTTCTTTTTCCACTTCACAATCATTATTTAATAATTGTTTAATTATATTTATTTAATTATCATTCACCCAACGTTTTGGTGGCCTAAATGTCGGTGAAATGACAATGACCCAATTGTATATTAATGCTTTTTAAGTCCATGATTGCAATGTTTTGACCATTGTTACGGCAGCCGAAACAGCTGTGATACGGAGGCGTTAAGCCCTGGTCGTGCATTTTTGGCAACCGCCTAAACCAACCCTAACCAATCTTTGTACATCACTTTCTCCCACCCAATTGAAAAAACGACCAATAACTCTTAAAAAATGTAAACTCCAATGGTGTTCAAGATTATATATATATATATTAAAAAAAAAATCTCGTCAAATTTATTGATTTGGACATGGATGGATTGTTTAGAATCTAATAAAAAAGGGGGTAAGATTTGAATATAAAATTAAAAAACACTTAATTTTGATATAAAAAATAATCCAAAAATATTTATGTTTCCTCAGGCGAAGTTTTCTTAACTTGGAAGCAAGGTGGCAAGTTGGACGGAGACTTGTTGCCCAAGTTTGCCACGTTAACTAGAATCTGAATCTTGCAAAGTAGCCAATAAAAAAAAAAAATTAGAGAACAGAATAAAATATTATGATAATGACGTGGTTAATGTGTTCGTAATAAAAAAAGATGTTATTTGTTGGAAAAGAAACCGAATAAAAAAGTTTTCGCATTGGCAGTAGAATAAGAGCCCACCGAATTACAAAATGAGCAACGTGGCTTTTCGAAGTGAACTTTAGGTAGGCATGAGAGGGTGTTTAGCACCAAAAAAAAAAAAAAAAAAAACCTTATAATTCAATGATAATATTTTAAAAAAATATATCACGATTTTAAATTCTGACAGTAGGAATCAGAAAGTTAGGATTTGTGCCAACATAGGCACTAATCAATCAGACATGCAATTAATGGATCAAAGCAAGTTCAGCAAATATGAAACAAAAGATGGAGTGGTCATGCTCAAGTCGAATCACAGAACTTGCCATTTTTGAGAAGTTCATCGAATTTGGACTGCCTAATATTTCTTTTTTTTAGTAGATTTCATACAA